TGTGTTTAGGATGAGTGATGAGGAGGTGTGCTTACCAACTCTCACCACCTGGGGCCTGTTTGTGAGGAAGTTTAGAATCTATCTGCAGATCGGTGTTCCCAGCCCAAGGTCGACGAGCTTCGTGGCAAGTTTCAAGGGGATGATGGTGTTAAATGCCGAGCTGTAGTCGATGAAGAGCATCCTTGCATATGTGTTCCCTTTCTCCAGGTGAGTGAGGGTGGTGTGCGTTGCCAGGGCGATGGCATCCTCTGTGGCTCTGTTTGTCCGATAGGCAAACTGAAGAGGGTCCAGTGTGTCAGGGAGGGAGGAGCAGATGTGACCTTTGACCAGCCGCTCGAGGCACTTCATGATGACGGATGTCAGTGCAACAGGATGGTAGTCATTCAGACAGGAGACCACTGATTTTTTGGGAACGGGAATGATGGTGGATGCTTTGAGGGACGTGGGGACCACTGACTGCCTCAGGGAGCGGTTGAAGATGTTGGTGAACACCTCTGCCAGCTCGTTTGCACACACTCTGAGTAGTCGGCCTGGGATGCCGTCTGGTCCTGGAGCTTTGTGAGGATTTACCTTTTTAAAGGTCCATCTCACAGCTTCTGTTTTCAGAGTTAAAGTTGCAGCCTCACTGTCCTCCTGAGGGTAGAGGATCTGCTCTCTGTTGTCTGCGTCAAAACGAGCATAGAAGTTGTTAAGCTCGTCTGCAACAGATGCAGTGGGCTGAACACTGACTGTGTTGACCTTCTTGTAGTCAGCATTCACCTGCTCGCAGCGGCTGAACACAAACCCTGCTGCTGTTTTGTTGGTCTCAGAGTTGTAGTTTTAGTTTTTCATCAAAGCTCTTTAAACTCATCACTGTGTGAGTCGAGTGGATCTCCAGCCTTAAACTAACTATCCTAACTTATGAGCAGCTGTCAGTGGTTAAATAAACCAGACGAAACCCGCTGAGCTTGGTTTGTTTGGGTCAGGTTTGGTTGGAGGTCAGCTCATGTGCGAACACAAACAGTCTGACACGCCTGAGCCGGGCAGTGGACGCCCATTAAAGACTGTAGGAACATTGCCATGGGGGGCTGTAATTCTTGGAAGTCTGGGAGGAGGAATGACCTTTGACCTTGCAGTAATGTGCACCCCTGCTCCCGTGGAGCCGAGGATTTCTACCTGCTGTTCACAAACTGTAACCGACATGGAAACTGAGTCTAGGGCTGGGCCATATCATACTGTTCACGGTAATAGCGGTGTAATGTTGGGCAACGATAAGAAAATGAAATATCGCGATAGAATATGGGCAAAACGCGCATGCGCAGTGCCTTTGTTTTCATACGCACATGGCGGAAAAAGCATGGCGGCGACGGAGAATGAGAAGGGCGAAAGCGGATCGTTGAATGAAACTGAAGAATTGGTTTTTCTGAAAATCGACAGCGCCCCTTATAATCCCGTGTGCCCTATGTATGAATTCTGGTTGTGTTTACTGACCTCGAAACAATTTTATGTCGTACACGGCGCTCAAAAATCTGTCAAATGCTTTAGTACGACTTTGCTACGAACCCGCACCGCTTGATGGATTGTCAGAGCATTACGGCTCTATTTGTGGATATTTTACATGGTTATGCCGAGGATATGTCGGCCAATTTCCACTGGAAATGCCTTTTGGTTAAACTGTCAGCAAGGAATTTGCATTTGCACTGTTAAATTTTTATATGACTTTAATGCACATAAAAAGCAGCTAAAATCTGCTCACGTCATCAGTGTTTTTCACTTTTTAAGATTATGTTCACATGCATTTGTCATTTCAGCCACTAAAGCTTCAACTTTTCCACAAAACCCAAATTTTATTTTTTTTCTCCAGAAATACACGTGCGTCTAATCCTTTCTGTATTGACAGCAACATGTCAGTGATGTCAAGCTGTTTCTATGTTTTTATGCCGAGGATATGTTGGCCAATTTCCACTGGAAATGCCTTTTGGTTAAACTGCCAGCAAGGAATTTGTATTTGCACTGTTACATTTTTATATAACTTTAATGCACATAAAAAAAAACAGCTGCTTGTTTAAGTGAAAATACATTGATTTTCTTTTTTTTTTGCACTAATAAAGTTGTGGAGCTGTAAAGTATTTTGTCTAGTGTCAATTATATCATCAGTTATATCGTTATCGCAAATTTTCACTCCAGAAGGTTCACATGTTCAGAGTTGCTTCTAGAAAAGATTTTATATATTAAAAAAAACTTTACTCTCTTCACAGGTATGTGAAAACAAAGTACTTTACATTTCTGTTGTAAGAACATTATACTTGTATTCATGTTACTCTTTATTGTTGCAGAAAAGTCTTGTGTTTACAGGACATCACTTTAGAGATGAAATCCTAGAATTTTACTGCTCAGACGGTTTGTTAGTACAGCAACCTCACAGCAGCCAGGTCATTAAAAATGACCAATGACATGGAGCATTTTTAATGTCAGGAAAAATGCTTTAAAACACTCCAACAGCACAAACACGGTCCCGAGGTCCAGTTCAGGGTGAAGATGGCAGACAGCTAGCAGCTACGTGCCACCTGTCAGTCAAAGAAGCCACTTCCCTAATAATGCAAACTGAAGCCAATTGTGATATTTGTCTCTGACTTCTGATATGAAGATAAACTGTTGGTCTCCTTTGTCTTCAGTATATAAAACTGTGCCACCTGTATATAGTGATACCCTTTTTTTGCTTATTCCTCTCTTTTGCTTTCTCTTTATTCTGTAACTAAAGTTTAACGGCAGTTTTATGAAGAAGGAAATTACTTACAGAGACTAAACAGTTGGTGTATCAGGCTGTAAACATGTTTATTTCTGCTGTAAAATTTTAACATAGGACTGACTCACTTTAGTGAACCATGGTCACTAAAAATGCAAAGATTTATTACATGTGTGTGATGTCATGATTCAGACTCTCAGTGTTTCTATGAATTATAATCAGTAAAGTGAAAACGTGTCCTTGAATACTTGAAAATCTCTGCACCTCTACCTCTGTACCTCCTCTCTTGAGTTTGGAGAGTTTTTAAATTTGAGGAGGTTTGAGGGTGCCGTCACCCTGAAGACAGATTCTCCTTTGTGTCTCTAGACTTGTGTCTCTAGGCTTAGCGCTGAGGTTCAGGTGAGGTCCAGGTGAGTTTCCTGCTGCAGAGCTGGGACATGGCTCACTGAGCGCGCGCTGTGGTTTCTGCACTCTGACTTCATGCTGCAAACAGCTGAGCTCAGCCTCCTACTGCACAAGCCTGCGACTGTTTTCTGCCTGGAAACCATTTTTTATGGATGGATCGCCCGCCTGTGTTTTTCTACCCCCTCCTTCCCCCTTTTTTCTCTTTTTTTACTTCACAACCTCACTGAACTTGGAGTTGAAAATGAACTCACATCACCCCGGCCTGCTGCCTCTGTTCCACTTTCATCTCTGCAGCTTCTCTGACATCCAGGATGTGTTTGAGCTGCCACCGCCGACCTGAAGGTGCTGTGAGGCAGCAGGTGAAGCTGAAGGTGCATCTTTGTCTGACTTAGACAGGATGTCATCACTTCCACCACACGTGTCAGAACGATGACGACTGCGGTGATGATAATGATGCGGCTGCTTAAAGGGTTAACCTGCAGCGACAACAAAGGAGGGAGGAAGAGGAGGCAGTGGGTGCTGCCTTTTAGCCCCGCCCTGAAATTCTTTATTGGAGAGGCTGTTTACAACCTCGCCGCATAGGAGTCCCCGGGTTCATCAGCCCTGCGGGGAGGGGGCGAGGAGGAGGGCTCACGAGAGCGAGGAGAGAAATGTTACAGGAAGAAGACAATAAGAGACGATGGTGAGGCCTCCAGAGCCGCCGCTTTGTTTCTTTGTCTCGTTTCTGTGAATTTAACGTGCACATGTCTGAGGCTCCGCGCGCACGTGAGGAAGAGGAGGGAGAAGAAGACGAGATTGTGTAGTTTCAGCTCTGCAGTGAAGAGAAAGTGTTTACATGTCCCTGCTGCAGCATGAAACAGTGAGCACATCACAGCCACGCCACACCAGCTTCACTAAAGAAGGAAAATCTGCTCACGTCGTCAGTGTTTTTCACTTTTTAAGATTATGTTCACATGCATTTGTCATTTCAGCCACTAAAGCTTCAACTTTTCCACAAACCCAAAATTTAAATTTTTTTCTCCAGAAATACACCTGTGTCTAATCCTTTCTGTATTGACAGCAACATGTCAGTAATGTCAAGCTGTTTCTATCATGTCACCAGTAAAATTATTTTTTTGTCTTAGCAGTGTGTCTCATTTCTGACATTAAATCATAAGAAAGCATTTTTAAAATCTATTTCTGTTTTACATGATCACGATTCAAAGAATATGTATGTATATACACAAATTAATTCCTAATAGAAAACATGTGAAAGTAAATGTGCCTGTGTTTGACAGAAAAGACCTCATTAAAAACACTCAAAAATAAGATTCTGAGTTTTCAGTTAAATATAGAATAGTGTAAATGCACCATAACTGTTGTATTTTAGGTAAATGAGTGTGAATAAACAGGTATTTCTTAATGATACTCCATATTTAGAGAGGCTGAGACAGTCAACACGCTCCACACTCAGTGTATTTACTAACGTTTTACCATGATTTTAACCGTAAACGTTTAAAAACATGCCGGTGACGCGGTGTTTCTGGTGTGGCCGTGTGTCTGCAGTGTGTTTTCCTCGGTTTTACCTGCTTTCACCTGTCCTTTTTTGTTCCTTTTTCACTCCATCTGCAGTTTACATGCCTGTCGCGCGCGTCCCCGCGGTCCCGCCTCGCGCCTCCCAACCTTTCCCCCAGTTCGAGCGCGCCGCTGGGTTCACCGGGTTTACTCTGACACCGCTGACTCCGCGGCCACGCCCCCGACAGCCACGCACCCCGCCGCGGGCCAATCGCGTGACGCTCACGTAGCGATCACGCACCGCCTCGCCCGTGATTGGCCGCGGCCCGCTACACCTTTGACTTTGATTGGCTGCGTGTTACCACCCGCCAGACCGCTCTGAATTTCGTTTCTGTGTTTTTTGTTTTTTTTCCGGTGCTCTCAGCTGAAGCCAGTCTGCTGGCAGCGGCTCAGCGCTCCGACTGAAGCTCCAGTAGCTGTACACGGAGTTGCCGCCGACCCTTTCTCCACTCCTCCGTCCGCTCTTTCTCTTCGTCAACTCAGCCTCGCTGCTGTCAGGTCAGTTTCCAGAAACTTGGAATGTTAGAACTGTGCGGTACCGCCCGGGGCTCCAGAACCTCCGGGTTCGGGGTCCGGGGACGGAGCGGTTCTGCAGCCCCGGTCGGGTTGTTTCGGCTCGGCTCGGCTGGGCTGTGTTGGCGCTGTCTGCTGGTTTATCTGAGGTCACAGTGAACCCAGTCACTCCTGTGTGTGCGCGCGCGCGTGAGCAGTACCAACAGTTGCATCCCTACAGTGCATCGCTCACCGCTGCAGAAACTTTACAGATGTTTTCTTTGTTTTGGTACAGTTGATGCTTTCGGTTCCGTGTCGTCGATTAATTAGCCGGACAGGATTGACTGATTTGATTGATTTTGATATTTTCGAGCGGCTCTCAGCGTCGTTGTGTTCAGTTTGTTTCTTTGGCTTGTGACAGTGAAGCCAGTAGTTTGAGTTTCACCTGGCATGTTCTCTAACACAGATTAATTGATTAATCCGATTTTAAATTTTTTAGTACATTTTTTTTTTGTCTAAGTTTGTTTTTGCAAGTGTGTTTCAGTCTCTCGTGTGCCAGTTTGTTTTTCTTTATTAAACATGACATTAATTTGATTATTTTGATGTTGATCATGCAAATTTTTCATTTCCTTTAATATTTTGGCTAAACAGTTAAATTGATTTTCATCCTCTTAATGTGACTGTAAATTAATTATTTTGACAATGATCAGATGATATTTTCTTTGGTTTGACTAAACAATTAATCCATTAATTGTAAACCTGTTGAGCAAAATAATCTATTATTAATTTGATGACTCTCATGAATTTAGATTCTTTGGTCTGAGCTCACTGTAGTAATTAAAGATCGGTTTCACTGTCACTGACTCAATAAAATGTTAAAATCATTTACATTCATTTTGATTTGCATTTGGCTCTAATAGGAAACGCCTGCTTCATTACTGCTGATTTAAAATAATCACGTTTTCATGAGTGCATGTTTTACCTGTTTAAACAGTGTAAAGCAAATATTTGCACCTGAAGCTGACGTGTAAAATTCTGTGTGTTTTTGTTCTAAAAACCAGTTAAAGTTATTTTCCATAAAATAAATCCTAATGTGGCGTCTCTGATTTTCCTGCGATTTGACTGTGTGAATCAGACTCAGCCTCAGTTTCATCCCAGAAATCTGCACTGAACACAAAGAAAATGCAGAGGAAGAGAAACCTGACAACACACCAGGAATCAATCCGAGTCACGCAGAAAAAAAGATCTCAGAATTAAAAACAGAAAGTGTGTCTGGAGCAATAAATGCATCCCAAGCTTCTCAATCAGGTGTGAGTGTGTCGGGGAACAGGTGTTATTAATCGTGGAGCCCAGTTGATTATTAGCACATTAAAGGCAGCGAGCGGCGTTCATTTATGAGTAAACCTTGTTGTTTCTCTGTCAATAGGTGTGGTGTGTTTTTGTGGTCGTGGGGAATCAGAGTGCGGGGTCTGTGTGTGTTTGTGTTGAAACGGATTGTTTTGTCCAACTATACTTCCTGTCAGGAGCTTCCTCTCTCTAGCTCTCTCTCTCACAGGGAGAGTTGGTTCATGTCAGTGTGGGAGGAGGAGTGGGCGGGGCTTGTTCATGATGGGGGTTTTTTGTTTTGTTTTGTTTTTTTCTCCTATTTTTGTTAGCACCTCCCGCAATCTATTCTGGGTGCAGTGAGGTTCCCCGTCAGGCAGGGTGAGAGGTTGGGTGTACCCACTATATCCCCCCCCCCCTCCGCCTGTTCTCTCTGTTTACATCGTTATCTCTCGCCCCTCGCTTGCCCTCCTCCCCCTCTTCCTCCCTTCCTGTACGTGCTGCTAAGCAGATGCCAGCCAAGCAGCCAGGAGCCCTTTGTCCCCGAGTCACCTCCCATCTACAGTTCTCGCCCCTTTAATTAATTCATTTATTTCCTGATGTGGTAGATGCAGCTCAGCCGGAGGTGGGAAAACTGTGACATCATTGGTCATTAGATGGGAGGTGTTTGGCTTTATCCGTGGAGTAAGAGGAAGAAAGAAAGAAAAAGAAGCTGGGCTGTGAGGCAGACGCTCAACAGTTTATAGGATAGTGAGCACTAACAGTGCGTTTAAGTCATATGGGAGAAAGAAGACGGTCCACTGCCTGCTTGCCATCACCCTCAATTAGCTTCCAGAAGTTGCCTGTGTAGCTAAAGCCCAACAGAAACTTCGATGAGACCAGAAGAAGCAGCTGGTTGTGGCTGAACTACCCTCTGCCCATGTCTCTACCCATGCCCCTCTTTAGGTTTCCAGAAGCAGTCCAGTCAGATGAAAGTGGGCTTTGATTGGAGCATGACTGATATACCTGTGAAGCTGATATTGGCTATTTCCCAATATATCATTATCAGAATGTATAACAGCCGAAAAATAAATCAAAGTAAGGAAGACACGGGAGAAACGATTACTTGTCCACGAGAGGACACTCTGCAACTTCCCTGTTGGCAACATATGTTTGGAAACTCCCACCAAATTCAGTCTTTAAGTCTGATGTTATTAGCCATTTCCGGGTCCAAACTTTGCTTCAGGTCCCAAAGTCAAATGAACACTGTGGCATAACTGAGAGTTAAAAACTGTCTAAATTCTTTCATGTTCAATAAAATGGTCAGTGTGGTTTCTTTACCAGGTGTAACAATTACATTTAACATCCGGGCATCCATGAAAACTGAATTTATGAAGTTTAACGGAGTTTGAAGTTAGCAGGGAGTTAGCTCGCTAGCTTCCATGTTTAAAAGTTGCTACAGTGGTAATAAAAACCCAGAGACCGACAGTGATTACTGACCATTTTTGGGTCTTGTTCATATTAAATAGAACAAGATACAAAACATTAAAATATGTTAAAAAGACAACAGCTTAATAAACACACAGCAGTTTGAACCCGGAAGCAGGGTTCATACGTCATCACTTAAGAAACGAATAGCAACCGGCTATTGATCCATGCGGAGGTGGGCGGAGTGTAATCAAATGATCCTTGACTTGTGATAATAAAATAAGGTTACTTTTACTCCATCATCATAATATTGCTGCAGAGACTCATAAATAACAACCTAACAAACGTCTGGGAACTTTGTTCATGTTTCCTGTGTTTTAAATTTTTACTTTTATATTTTGAATCAGGTTTAAACACACTCAGGCTCTAGCTTTTAGGGTAGAGTGTAGCTGAATGTGCCAAAAACTGCAGTACCTCTAACATCCAGCAGAGGCTCCAGCAGCATTCAAAATGGTAAATGGCCTGTATTTATATAGCGCTTTACTAGTCCCTAAGGACCCCAAAGCGCTTTACATATCCAGTCATCCACCCATTCACACACACATTCACACACTGGTGATGGCAAGCTACATTGTAGCCACAGCCACCCTGGGGCGCACTGACAGAGGCGAGGCTGCCGGACACTGGCGCCACCGGGCCCTCTGACCACCACCAGTAGGCAACGGGTGAAGTGTCTTGCCCAAGGACACAACGACCGAGACTGTCCGAGCCGGGGCTCGAACCGGCAACCTTCCAATTACAAGGCGAACTCCTAACTCTTGAGCCACGATCGCCCCAAAACAAAAAATGGGGCAGAGACAGACATGCAGCAAAGAGCCACGGGTCGAACTCGAACCCGGGCTCCCCACTCTCCGGGCCACCAGCGCCATTTGGTCGTAATTCTGCGCTTCTGAGCTGATTTTTGCTTTAAAATCACAGAAAATAATCCGATTAAAGTGACGAGAAATGCTAAAGTCTTTTAAAACTGACCTTTGACCTCTCGACTGTTCTCAGGTCAGCCGTGTGGACAGACAGACAGCAGCAGCCATGGAGCAGAAGTCGTACGTCGAGTACCATGACCTGGAGGCTGCCGAAGCGCTCGTCAGCATGAGCTTCTGGGGTCAAAGGTCGCACAAGCCCCGCCCACTGACGCCCACCTCTGACTCCTGTGACTCTATCCAACTCCACTCGGAGGGCACAGATACACCAAAAGACCTGATCGCCCTCTCCTCGCTGGTAAGAACCAATACAGTCAGAACGTTAGAAAATGTTAAATGCACACGCATGACTAAATGACCTCATCAGACACATCGTTACCATATTTATAAAAATGTAACACAAAAAATTCTTTCTAGGTTTTTCATTATTTAGTTAACTACTTAATTTGTTTTAAGTAATTTTCTTCTGTGAATGAATTCGTAGCATTTGGGATCCGTCTGTCTAACACCTGCTTTCTCTCTCAGTGTATAACTCCGCCTCAAAGTCCAAGCTTCGCCGAGGCCTCTGCAACCCCCATCCTCACCATCGCCTCCAAACCGCACTTACCCTCCCCCGCCCTTCACAGTGACCCCCATGCCGTCACTTCAGAGACCTCAGCACTTGCACCTCACTCAGAGTCAACCCGTGTGGCTCCGCCCAGCAGAGCGATGGCCACCAGTGTCATCCGCCACACCGCTGACAGCCTCAGCCTTCCTCTGCCCAACACCGAGCTGTCAGAAACTTCCACGCAGCCTCTGCCACCACTTCTGCAGACGCTTCCAGAGGAGAAGGACGACCCTCCCCCAACTCCCGACACCCCCCCATCGCCTCCCGCCTCAGCTTCTCCACCTCACTCGCTGTCTTCCTCACCGCTGCTCTGCCAGGTTTTCCCGGTGAACGGCCGAACGGGGATGATCTCCGCCTTCGTCCAGGCCCCAGTTCAGGTGCAGGGGCCGGGCGGGCCCAAGCCAATCCTTCCCCAGTCTCCCACTTCCAGCTTCGCCCAGCCGCTGCTGCTGGGCTCCGCCGTGCCACAAGGGACTGTGATGTTTGTGGTGCCACAGCCACCCGTGCCCCAGCCGCAACCAGGCCCGCAGACCGTCATGACCTTGGGCAACACCAAGCTCCTCCCACTCGCCCCAGCTCCTGTTTACATGCCGTCAGGAGCGAACAGTGGCACCTCGCAGGCAGACTTCTCTCGCAGACGGGACTACGTGTGCACCTTCCCTGGGTGCAAAAAGACCTACTTCAAGAGTTCACACCTCAAGGCTCACCTGCGCACACACACAGGTATGAGTCACCTCAGGGGAAGGAGAACCACAGACAGACACTCACCTGTCTTATAGACATGAGCTAACCACTTACGTGTCCTCTTGTTCCACAGGTGAGAAGCCATTTAGCTGTCACTGGGAGGGCTGTGACAAGCGGTTCGCCCGCTCCGATGAGCTTTCCCGCCACCGCCGCACGCACACTGGTGAGAAGAAGTTTGTCTGCAGCGTGTGTGAACGGCGGTTCATGCGCAGCGACCATCTGACCAAACACGCCCGACGGCACATGACTACCAAGAGGCCGTCATCGTGGCCCGGCGAAACCCGAGACCTCAGCAAAGGCGCCCTGCCAAAGGGTCAGAACAGAGGACCGGCACTTCCCGTTGGCGTGCTGGTTCCTGCTGCCAACTAACTAACAGACTAGTGTCACTCACAGGGCCATCTCAGGAGCCCCGGGGGGAGGGGCCAAACACCGACCAGACTCTTAAAGAGTGACTGTGACTGGTTGTTTCAATCAGCTCCGCCCACCACATCAGGACGATGTTTTGTACTCGGCTACGTTTACACGACCTCAGAACAGGGTCAGACACACCTGGACTCATTTTACAGGGACCTGTCCTGCTCTGAACGGTAGCTTAGCATGAATGGCAGTTTAAAATAAGCCATCCATTCATGATCTCTCTAAAAAAAAGACGCCATGGCTCAGTTCTTACTGGCTTCTCATTGGCCAGGGTCTGGAAGCCTGCTGAGGGGAGAACAGTAGATTTACTATATTACTATTATAGATAAGCTATATTAGTATATGGAAGTTCAGGAAACAGGCGCCATTGAACGAGGGCGTTTTGTCCTTAACCGACCAATCAGCTTCACTGTGAGAAAAATTGAAGGACCTTTATTACCAGGAAGTGATTGCCCTTCTATATAAGGAGATCTGTCACTAGCTGCTGTCAGCTTGTCACAGAAGTGACAGGAAAAAACCCAAAAAGACCCAAAAACCCTGTTGGTCCCATGTTTGAAGTTTCAGCACATGTATGACGCAGACAGGAGAGCAGAGCAGGTCCCTTCAGGAGTTTAAGGCCGTCCTTCGAGTGGAGGAGGCGCTCAGATGAATCCAGTTCTTTTCTATGTTCATGCTGCCGAGAGTTGAACGATCTGAGTGCCGCCGTTTTCCTGTTACTTTTGTTAACGTAGACATAGCCGTCATCAGCAGAGGACGGCAAGCTTTCTCAACCATTCTCAGGACATTTTATTCCCACGATCCACAAACACACCGCCGCAGGAGGAGGAGGACCTGAAGGCACCAGGCTGCTACTCACTCACAGACATCCACACAAAGCCGATGTTGCACTGGAATATTTTTGAATCTCACTTGTTTTTGTACTCTCTCTCTCTCTCTCTCTCTCTCCCCCGCCGTGTACCATCACGGCTGCGTCTTTTTAGCGACTCGTTAGCGACCTGTTAGCGACTCGTGTACACTCTTATTGTTTGCCAAAGCCTCAGTATCATGCTTCTTAGCCCACTTCTGTTCTGACTGTAAATACTGTAAATATCTTGATATCTATATGAGTGTTATGTGTAATCCAATCTACATTTATTCACAGTACGAGATATTAATATTTTAAGAGTCTGTGGACAGTATTCATTACTGTGATACTACCTACTATCTTTGCTTTACACATTATTATTATTATTCTTATTATCATTGTTAATATTATTATTATTATTATTATTATTATTATTATTTAATAAACATTCGTTGAGGAAAGTGCTGTTTTTGATAGTTTGATTTGGCCCATAGTGTAGCCAGTAAAAATACCTCATGTTATTAAATGTTATTCTTAATAATAACAGCTTATATTAAAATAATCCTTTTCTTTTTCTTTCGAACATTTACCTGTACACCACGGTGATGGTGAAGAAAATGGCTTTTATAATAAAATGTTACCACGAGGCTGGCACCAGCTGTTTTTTGCGTTTGTCTGCAGTCATTGTTTCACTGAGAATTTCAACAGCTGGAAAAACTTTACTCATCAATACTTTTGTGATTTTTGACTAAAAGTCGAATTTTGTACTTGGCGTCTGTGTTTTAAGCAAAACTAAAACGCTGCAGTGAAGCACATTGCTCCAGCCTGGCTCATGTTACTGATCCAACTCCACAGTAAACATGCAGCACATTTTAAATCCACGTGGATGCCCCGGGGGTATTTGGGGTTCAGTAACTTGCTCAGGGACTCTTCAGATGGATGCAGTAGCTGAGGAACCTCAGAGTGATTAGCATCTCGCTCTAAATCTTGAGCCAGTCTAAGCACCGTGATTTTTAAAGGCGCTATATAAATACAGGCCATTTACCATTTACCATTTTTTTTGGAGGGGAACCCTCAGGTCGGGTGTAGCTTTTCAGTAAAGTCCCATACTGGATGTTTCTTTGCATGTAGGCGAGTGAGTGAATTCAGTGAATAATCAGCATTGTTGACCTCAGTATAAACTGATGTCTGATTTGTTGGTGTGTAAACTCCACCACAAGCTGCACTGACCTGTCTGTATGTAATCACCATACTTCAATCTGTTTTTCACCATGTTTAACATAATTCAGCAGCTGCACATCCTGTACAGATCCAATATCTGATTTTAAAAAATGTATTTTATGTTCACATAAAACATTTACATTTCCAGTTTAACACGTCACTTGCTCTGCAGTGCTTACCTTTAAAAATAATCTCTCATCTTGCTCAACTGTCCTCCTTTTCCCCATCTCGGAGTGAGGTTCTCATTCGTCTTCCTGCCTGTTGCACAGCAGCTGGGCCTTTGTCACACAGCATGTCTGAGAGCTAAACTGCACACTAAGAGTCTGTGTTTGCTTACATTTGATGAACTCATTTAAAAGTTGGATTTTAAATTTCCTGCCACTTAAAAAGCGTTCCTCCCTTACAAACAAACAAATGACCTCTAAATTCAACTTCTACACATACAAACATGTGATTTTATGATCTGACATTAAGATCAATTAAAAGGTAAGTCTAATTTACTTATTTAAAATTATTTTTTCATTTGCCAGTGGACAGCCATCTTTAAAATGGCCACCATCTTGAGTTTTAAAATGGCTGGTGGGCTTTAAAAACAAAACTGTACAATAAAGGAGTTGATGTGGCCTCAGAGCAGGAAGATCCTGGCTTTGAATGCACCAGCCGGGGTTCTCCCTGTTCCTTGGTGGGTTCTCTAGCTTCCTCACACATGTGGTTTAGGTTAACTGGTAACTCTTGGCCAAAGCTGTGAATGTGAATGTGAATCTCTTCACTCTCTGACAGCTGGATGGATAGTCTCCATGTTAGCTGGCATATATGAGAGAGATAAGTGTGTGTACTTATATCCCCCCAGGAATAGTCTTCCTGTAAAGCTCAGTTATCGGCTGAACTATTAAACATTTTAAACCTCATTAATACATGAAAATTAGCACCTGTTCTAGGCTAACTCGCACTTGTGTAATGTTTCTGTTAAAATGGTAAAAAATAAACGACATCAGCATGTTTTCACAAATTAAAGGAATATTTAATGTTGTAATATTAGATTAACAGAATAGAACAGTAAAGATTGCTTATAAAATATATATATTTTAGGCTTGCTATAGCAAATTTAAATGTTATGTTATGTTTAAAATACTTTTTAAAAATAGTTTGGGCACAAAAAATTAAAGCATTAATTGGCATTAAGGACATAACCAGGTTAGCGTTGCATAAAGCTAGCTAGTACTGGCTTCATCCACAGGTCAGAAATATCCAACTGTTTAAAAGTGACTGTAGGGTAATTCTGAAAACACCACACAAAGAAAACCCTCAAAGCAGGACCGAAAAAGAAGATTTGGTTGAATGTTTTTATTTTTATGTGAAAACAAGTCGGACACCACAAAGTCAATGCTTTTATATATTTCCGGTATAAAGTTTGGCGCTCAGGAGAAAAACAAAGGAAAGGGACGGGGAAAAAAATGACCATTGGAACTGCTCATCCCAAAATGCATCCCAACGAATGACCTCTGATAATTTTTTTGATTTCAGTAAAAACAAAATACAGTGTGTAATTTGTGTACTTACTGTTGTGTGTAACTGTATTTGGGGCTGCGTTTTGTTCCTGACTGCAGTGCCCACTTTTTGACTTTGCTGTTAAACGTTTCCATGGAAACAGCACCCTGTACCAATCAGAGACATTGCTTTTTGAGTTTAGGATTGTGGGTAGAGTAGTTCTTTTTCTCGACATCGTTAATAAGAGTGTTATTCTTCAAACATCGTAGCTGTCAATAAGACGCCTGTGGATGGCACATAACCAGAGTCCCTGTGGACATTTATAAAGGTTACTGCTAATAAATAATAAACTGTTTAAACTAACACAGGTTCTTCTGTGTGAAGGTTAGCTAATGCTCACAATCCAATATCACATTACAAATGAAACATTTCATTCACATGCAAACATTCACGCTCACTTTTCTGATTGTTGTTCCTATACATTCAGAGGAATGCATAAAAAATGAGCCTCACACATATCAAGTGAAACTCGTATGTTTTGTTGTTATTTTTTGTCTTTTTGGATCATTTTAAACGCCCACCGTGTTCAGTCAGCGGCATTCCTAAATAAATCACAGCCAGTCCTCTTTATTTTCCTGATTTTAAGTCCTTCACTGGGCAAAATGGCGGCTTCGTTGCGCTGTGTGGAGATAAATGAGGTTAATTCTCCGGCTTCACAGTTTCGTTTCCTCCGTGTGTGAAGTTTCTGCTCCACGACAGCAGAGTTACACAACCCGAGCTCCGCGCTCTCTGCCCACACCACCAGGTAGCAACCGCCATCCAATCACCACGTGGGGCTGAGGGGGTGTGACCAATGGGAGCACACGTCGTCATGACTTGGCCCGTGAGAGGGGGCGTGTCATCTGTGTGGAATGGTTTCCGCCCCTTTGTCTTACTGACCGACATTCGGCTGGAGCCAAAGTAAAATATAAAGTAAAAATAGAAGAAAAAACAGTGGAGTCTGGTGGAGGCCGTGGGCGGGGAAACAGTGACGCCATGTGGTAATGTGAGGTATTAAACGCACTACAGAACAATAAAACAAACGATTATGACATAATCACAAGTATTACCCCTGAGAGCAGATATGTATGAGCCTAATCTGGCTCAGTTATGGCAAATGACCAGTGGGCGCTGGAGAAAAGTAAACATAACATTAAAAACCTGAACAAAAACCATGTAAACCTTAACACATGGGGGGAATATTATTCAGCAGTAAAATACTGTGATCCACAAATGATTTCAAAAGGTGGGTTCAGAGGATTTATTTTACCCCCAAACAGATTAAAATCAACCCCAAATCTTCAATAAATGACACATTTAATATTTCAATTTGCAAAACAAAACAAGGGTATGGAGGGAGGAGACACTGGAGGGAGAGGGGTGAAGCCAAACACCCCTCTCCAGATGGAAATCTGACAACAAACCTTTGGAGCAGAATATTTCTGATGTGGCTTCTTGTTTTCATGTCTAATGACAAATATAAAAATGACTCTCAAAATGCCTCAACACTGGTGTTTTTCTGCATCAAGTACAGAAAAGATTTAAAGAATGCTGACCAGTCAGTGG